GGGAGGGGCGGCCATCTGCTGCGACCGGTTGGGGTGAGAGAAAAAATAAAATAAAGTGGCCAGTGAGTGTAAATCTTTGTCCCAGTTTTTCTAATGTAATGTGTGGGACTATTTCTTGATCAGGTGCAATGAATCTCGGAGTTTTGTCCTCACTGTGCGGGTACCGTTACGCCTATTGTCTCTGGTGGGAGATAGGTCAGTGCAAAAAAGTTTTCCACCTCTCCCTGTCCATCTGTTGTTGGCTCCAGGTGGAGGGGAGCTCTTTGGTGACTCCTTTTTAGTGTTTCTTAGTTGGCCTTTCCTTTGTTTCCCTCAGAGATTCATTTAAAGGGTATATCTGGTAGTGCTACTTTAAAAAGCACGTGGCCCATCATCCCCAGTGCCTTCTCTTGTTCTTCACTTGTTCAGCAGGTAGTTGGTTTAGTGTTTCTTCTACTAATGTCAGCAAGCGATAGAAACTACAGGAAAGTCTGTGGTAAGTTATGTCTGAGGTATATTATTAACTCTGTTTCTGCTTTTATAAACACCTGTTGTGTGGGGAAATATATCCAAACTTGTTTATGTACTCAAACACCTTTATCGCTTTTGGGAAATTCCATTTAAGGAGTTCCCTTAAATGTTCTAAATTTTAAGAAATATATCAGGACATCCCCTTGTAGCACTCATCAGTGAGGTCCATGTCTGCTCTCTGCCCGTGGAGCTCATGCTGATTAGTTACAAGTATTTAAAGTCTGAGTCCTGAGACAAAGTGGGCGTTAACACATAAACACGTTTACTGAGAAACCTCTTGTTAACTGTGGTGAGAAATATCCTGTCCCCTCAGACTAACATGACAATGGCTTTCCTATTTATGGTTGTTTGTGTCAGTGGCTGTCTTTCCCAAACATGGAACGCACTTATTTTAGACCAAGGAGAGGTTTAGTCATTGTAACATAAAAGTTAGTCCACTTTCTCTTTTTGTTCTTTGCTGAGCAGAATAAAGGCCAAACAGATGCCATACCACCAGCTTTCCTTCGAAGAAACAGCTTCACACCGCTGTCCAGCCAAGACCAGATTAAACGACCTCGTCTTTACAGTGTGGGGAACCATTCACATACTCGTATGTCCCAGGCCCCTACTTTACCCAGCATGCAATTCTCTGAGGCATCTGAAGGGTCAGAAACGGTACAAAGTGAGGTCAGTGCCTGTCTCACACAAGATACTGTGGTTATAGGTCAGCTGGTATGGCTGAATATACAGATAAATATTATATATTCATATAAATATCTGAAACAGACTAAAGTCAGCAAATTATGTTAGATGAGTCAGAATGTATCAGAATAAATAAAGTGATTCAACCAACATTTACTATTGTTGCTCACGCAATGGAAGATGACATGTCCATGTGGACATGCACTGACTTTTTGTAGCAATTTACCTTCAAAGTCGGCTTGGCTAGTAATAATAATAATTAAAAAACAGTGTAACGGTGTAAAAAAAACGGTGTTATTTTATCCACCATTTACTCTGAACTGCTAAAATGGCACTGAATTGCGTGGGACACTAACAGTAACAACGTTGCCTTGCTTGTAGCCACAAAGGTTCATGTGAAAAATGGAGACAACAAAAAGTCTCAGTAGGCACAGATTTGGAGGCCATCCTTGCTTGTCTTGTAATAGTGAAGACACATGACACAACTGGCCTTGAAAAATTAGCAAAATGAAAACTGAACTAACATTTGAAACTAATACTGTAGACATGATTAATATAGAAAAAAGTTCAAAAAGTTGAAAGGTTAACAGCAGCATACAGTGAAATATGATGACTGAAAAAAACTCAGACAAAGCAACTAAACCAGTCTTATCATTGTTTTTTATTATGAAAAGTGTTTGACAAACAGAACCTTTGGTAATCAGTTATTACTGGAATATAACGGAACAATGTTATCAAGTGCTATCAAGATTGTTCTTTAGTTTGTTCTAACGTGTTTATCACAGGTGCGATGCACCGTCTGGACAATCACTGCTCTGCATGTACACATATGCCCGTCTCTTCTCATACCATACAGCATGAGGGAGGATTATTTATCTTTTTTATTTAAATAATTGATTCAAGGTTTAAATAAAAGTATTCTGTATGTACAAATGTACTTTAAGTGTTAAGGTTTTGGGCTGGCAGAGGCCAGCATAAGCAAACCCAGGATGGTTTGTTTTTCATGTTCATGGATGTTTACAACAAGCCATGTTCCTTCATAAGGATGTTGGATGGGTATACATGAATATAACTTTTTTTTCTCCACTGTTTTTGCTTGTGTTGTTGCCCAAAAAGTGACCTTTTAGCTGTAGTAGGACAGAAAATCAGTGTCTCACTCTGAGCTGTGACTTCAGATTTTAATATTAGTTCAAGTTCAGTCGGCGCCAGTCAAAACAAATAGCTCGTTCCTGTTTGGGTTAAAGCAGTCTACTTTCTCTCCCTTGCTTTTCCCTCTTACAGAACTCTCTGAATGGTTTCACTGGTGCAGACACAGATGACTGTGTGGAGTTTAAAAACAGAAGTGCATAAAAAGGTATTCATAACCTTCCTCTTATCTGTTACACAGAACATTATACATATATCAGTATACTTTATACTCTGTACTGTACTTTACAATACTATACACTCACTGGTGACCTTATTAGTTACACCTTATTAGTACTTGTTTGGACCCCTTCAGGACTGCCTTGATTCATGGACACCTCAAAGATTTTGGTCTATATTCACTTGATAGCATCAAACAGTTTCTACAGATTTGTCAACTGCACATCTGTGATGCAAATCTTCCATTCCACATCCCAAAGGTGCTTTCATGTTGTTAACACCAAGTTCTGACCCTACCATCCAGATGTCACAGCAGATGTTTGTCCAACTTTGTTGACTCTGTGCAAATTATAGCCTCAGTTTGCTGTTCTTAGCTAATGGTGCATTCAGAAATGCTCTTCAGCATACCTTGATGGTAGCAAGTGGTTATTTAGCTGCATAAAATAACATAGCAACAATCTGTTCTCAAACCACAGTTCCAGAGATCAGCTCTTTCCAAAAGCTTAACAATAAAAGTATGTCTTCAACTTTAATTTAGAGACATTCTACAGCAGGGGTAGGCAACTCCAGGCCCCCTGGATCAACACACCTGAATCAAATGATTAGTTCATTAACAGGCCTCTGGAGAACTTCAAGATATGTTGAGGAGGTAATTTAGCCATCTGAATGAGCTGTGTTGGATCAAGGACACATCTAAAACCAGCAGGACACCGGCACTTGAGGCCTGTAGTTGCCTAGCCCTGTTCTAGAGCCTTGGTGCAACTGCAGCAAAGGCTGGATGGATGGATCATTTAAGACCACTGGATTGTGGATTCTGTAATGAGCAGTGAGTCAGTGCAAGGCTGCTAGCACTGGAGTAATTTGATCTCTCTCTTTTTTTTCTCGAGAGTGTTCGAAACTGTGGTTGACCACAGTAATTTGTCAATTTTACAATTTGTGTCAGAGATTTTTTAACTTGTGTTTAAATGAGAGGACATTAAAGAGCCTTTTCAACTATTAACCTCCCAGTTAATAGTATAAAACCAATTTGTTATAGGCAACATTACTTTTGCTGACTGATGCTCACTGGGTATTTTGTGTTTTTTCTTTTTATAATCATTATCTGTAAAGCCTAGAAATCATTGTGTGGGAAAAACCCAGGAGATCAGCAGTTTCTGAAATACTTTGAATAACCCATCTGTCACCAATAACTCTGCCACATTCAAAGTAACTTAAATTACCATTCTTTCCCTTTCTTTTGCTTAGTTTGAACTTCAGCAGGTTGTCTTGCTCTTGTTTTCATGCCTCAAAGCAAGGGAGTTCTGCCATTGGCTGATAGTTGCATTAACTAGCAGTTGCCGAGGTATACCTAACAAGGTGGCTGGTGAGTGAACTGTATTACAGTTGTCTCATTGCTTCATTTTTGTCTTTTATCCCAGGCTTTTCTCGACAAGTCCACTACTGACCAGCACGGACCAGCAGAAAGAAACCCAAAAAGCTTCAGCCGTTATGATTTTAAGCATGGACTTGCAAGTTAGAGCATGTGTGTACATAAATGAACTCAGTGAATGTGTGATCCATTCAAATATACAAATCAAACGCTTGTACCAAAGACACTCTCAAAACCATCCATTAGTTTCTAGCACGCTCCATATAATGTTGCAGATTACAGTCATGGTGTGCTTTATTAGATGTCGAATATGCTGATTGTGAAATTTATACCTCAACCTTTTTTCTTCAGTGTAGTATAAGAGAATTTCTGTCTTGAAGGAAGCCATGTGCAGCCTTATTTTGTGCTTAGATTGTTTCACTTTTAATTTTAAGGTCACTTAGTAATGTGCATTCTCCCTCTGACAACATGTAGCAATAAATGTATTGTGAGGTGCAATTTAGGTATGCAGAAGTGCGATTTAGTTTTCAGGGGGAAGACATAAGCTGTAAATATTAATGACATGTTTCGTCTAGCCCTATAAAAAGTGCAGGATCTACTGTGTGTCGACTTTAATCTGTGATAGTTATTTAATCTTCTCTCTTGAGATGTGTACTTCTTCTTTTATTTTGTCTTCCATATAAATAACAGCTTTGATCATGTAAAGCTGCTCACCTTTGAACTGCATAAAATTAATGCAGATTTTCTAAACACAAAGAGGTTACTTGTACAGCAGTATTGGATGTTATGTTGGTTTGTAATGCTTTAGATTTCGTCACGGGGAAAAACAAATCAGGGCCTTTGTAGTGCTACCTTTACTGTCCATATGGAACGACAAGATTGAAAAGGGTCATTTAGGAAAGTACCTTTATTTACAGGAATATAGGCTTTGACCCAGGTAATCAAAGATATGATATGCAAAATTGTTTCCTTGAATGGAAGGAAATGGAATTGACGACACATTTGAATGTCTTAAAATGAACTTGTAGCTAATGTAGCTGCACACATTTTACCAAAGTTAACTGTACACTGTTTTTACACAGACTGTCATTTGTATTTAAGACTGACTTGGAAAAAAAGTCTTTATTCCAGTAAAGAAATCTGTGCAATCTCAGTGGGAGTAACCTTCCTGTTTGCTAAACTCCAGAGACATGCATCGACAGAGTTGAATGAGGGAGTGATCTAAGGACAAATCTAAATCTGGGAATGAGATACATTTTGATTGAAATGTAACATTTGGATGATGCAAACCTGATATCTTGCTTTTGTGACACAGCTTTTCACTGCGTGGTCTGTTCTGCTTCTACTGTAATGATAATGTTTTCTAACATGTAAATCCAGCAGTTTTGTTTCAGAGTTCTATAGAAAAATTAGCTCTGTGCAGCACATTTAGCTCTGAATTGTGACTTGTTTTTGTTCTTATTTTAAATAAATCCCAACTTATTTGATTTATGATTTAAGATACTGATTTGTATTTTTTTGTGATTACTACCAGGAAATCAGTGAAATGCATGAAGAAAAAGAAAGTAAAAGCAGCACTGCTGAGAAATGACCCTCACATTGCTTTGACGCCTAAATAAGGCCTTGAATGACTGGAATGAGATAAAACGCTCTGGAGAACTCAACCACTGATTACAGAACAAAATATTCCAACGGGTATTTAAAAACTAGGAATGCACACCAACTTTTGTTTTTTTCTTGGTAAAATTTTTTAAATGGTTTTTACATGGTGGGTCACTGTTGCATCTCTCTCATGACTTCAGTCGTACATGACGATGATTTGAACCCAGAATTCATCACTCCATCAGGCCCGTTGCCACTGATTTTCAGTGCAGTTGTTAGCTCTTGTAATTTGGCCTACCTCAACCTTTTCTCGCCGCCTCTCTTCCATCCCTGACGAGGCTTCGACAAAGAAGATGGATCAACTGAAGGGCCAAAAGCATCTCTCAGGTCCTGTGTAAAATCATAGCTAGATTTTTCTCCTCATTTCTTAAGGACGTGGCTTTCAGTTACTGTTTTTTCTTATTTTCTTTTTTAAGGTCTGTTATTTCTCATTTTGTCTTCCACTTGTCCCGTTTCCCTGATTTATTTATTTTTATGACATACTGAGATATGCTAAGTATCTGGCTAATAGCTCTAACAGTCCTAATAGCTCTTCTGGAAATCACATTGCTGGTGTAAATGGGCCACTCTATAATTGGAATACAATTTAAGCTTAAAAAATGGTTTAAAAAAAAAACATCATTTTTTTTGTAAAATGTTCTGTATTAAAGAAAAAAGGATAATATACCATCAAATGGGTTTGATGGTATATTTAGTTGTTTGGTGCTATGCTTAGTGCAACCCTGTTACCAATACTCCTGAACCTGAACAAGTGGATTTTCAAAATTTAGTTCAATACATTTTTTTAAAAAAAACAAAAAAACATTACAAACATATATTATGCATGGTAACGTTGTTGTAAATCAGTGATAGCATTAGTGTTGTCTCACAAACAGATAATAGCTATGATATGGAATGTAATGGACTGTGAAAGTCAATATAAATGTAGTTATGTAAGTCAAGGAAGAAAACTGAAATGACTTTGTCTTCTTTTTTTGAGTGATACACTCAATCTAGTCAGAGAAGATGGGGAAAAATACGAAATATGTCAAAGAGGACTCACTTTTGTCCACTCATGGTGTCAGCACACACCTCAATCATGTCACTCCCTTGTTCCAGATCAATTGGTTTCTGTAGCGGGATCGCAAATACACTGTGGGACGCAACTTGTAGTGCATAATTACTGTTCTTTAAAATATATTGATGTCAAAATAATGGTTAAACAGATAAAGTGAATTCGTAACTTATTTTAAATTTTATATTGGGGAAGCAGTTTGGTTATCAAGGATTTGGAGCAGGAGAAAAATGCCATTCTGAGGAGTTTAAAACAACTGAACAACTAAATATGATGAGTGTGTGTGTCTGTGTGCTGGAGTGGGAGAGCAAGCCTCTAAAGATAGACGCACAACATTAGTTCATCATTAGTTTTTTTGTATGCTTAAATTGTTCAAGTGTTAAAAAATCATTCCTCTGAAAATAATTCGGTACAAGGACTGGACTGAAAATTAGTGGAAAAAGCAGCCTAAAGAACTCTTGAGAAAATTACAAGGTTTGGCTTCTTGGAAGCAAAATATAAAGAAATATGAGGTGACTTTTGCACAGAATCATATTATAGCTGCTGAAAAAGTTGCAATTTCAAATGCCAAAACTGACTCACTATAACTGATACACAGTCAGTTATAGTGACTCAGACCTCTGACTCTACTACCACCAGCAGCATGTCCTGAGTTTCATAACCATTATTAGAGTTGCTGAAATTTTTAATTTTGGTTCCCTATGCAGGAGGGAATAATTAAAGCATGTTCCAAACTAGCAGATTTTCAAATTCAAATTCAATTGTATACAGTTCTCTGAGAAAACATTTGGCCCTTTTTTGTATACTTACATGTACATGTTTCAAATCATCGCACAAAGTCTTTTAATTTCAGATGAGACTAGATAAATTAAGTAAATAAAAATGCAGTTTTTAAATGGCAATTGAGTTTATTAACTGTTATTATTAACAATTGCATTTATTAATTCATCAATGACTCATCCAGGAGCTAAAAAAAAAAAAACATCATCGAGGGAATGAAAATGTCACTTGTCTCAGTTAAGGTCAGAGTTCATAATGGGGTGCTAACAAAGAGACTGGGCAAAAATGGTAAGGTTCCAAGGTGAAAGCCACAGCTGACCGAAAACAAACAAACAAACAAAAAAACACAAGTGTTCAACTCACATTTTCCAAAAAAAGAAAAAAAACATCAATCATCATGATGATCTCCAGGACATTTAGGAAAACTGTTGTTGACACATTATACAATCATTTTGTAAAGGTGGAGTTTTGGTTGGTGCTGAACTGTTTTGGATTATGAGGACAAGTGTTGCTGTTATTACAACCGTTGGGACAACCTCTGCTGCACCTGGAAAGGGAGAGGCTGCTTGTGGCTTTCAGAGGAATCTGTTGTTGCTGCTACAATAATGACTTTGCCGGATTTTCCTTCGCTCACCCACACTCTTCTCACACACTTTACGTCATGGCTCCCCTGTTATTATGAGTTGCTGTGCTTACATAAAAATACTTTGTTACGTCTTTTATCAGTCTGTTAACTGCCATTTGCTGGAAGTCTTAAATCACGACTGGATCACCTCGGCATTGAAATGGATTACACAGAATAAAAGAAGGTCAAGTCTGTAACATGACAAACAGCTGAAACCCAATGTCAGCTTCATCTGCAGGATTAAAATGATCATACAGTTAAATTTAATTCAAAAAATAGCGTCTGTATTTTAATATTGTAAAGACAGGATATGGTGCAGGTCATATTAAAGGACCAAATTAACTAAACCAGTTTAAATAGCATTATTATACTGGAATAATCCTTTTTTGCTATGAAAGCCCATTATACATTTATTATGTTTCTAAAGCCTCGTAGAACTTTCATCCCTTTTTAATCTTACACGATGAATAAGCAAATAACTTTTTTTTAATAGTACAGCTTTATGTTTTCATGTCCATTTCCTGATGGGCTGTCCCAGTCTTCCTCTATAAATTGCTTCACTTGATCCTCCTGTTGGCATCTGCCTCTAAGGACAGCCTACAAGCAAGACAACATGAGGACTGTCGGTTGGAGTATTTTGGTTTTTATGTTAGCCTCACTGGCTTCAGGTAAATAGTAATGATTTGTTCATTGTTATTTTCTATATCATGTGTCTTTTTTTAAATTATGTATTTATTTATGAAACTGATGGTATGATTTCCCAAAAATACAGGTCAAGTATCACAGGATTGTTCAGCACCAGATAAATACCCGAACACCAAACTGGAGACGAAATATGCCAGGAGACAGAAATTCAGCCACAACGAGAAAGTTTACTACAGCTGTGATGACGACTTCACTGCTTTTAGGGGCAGCAGGGCTGTGCAGTGTGTTGATGGACAATGGACCAAACTGACTTTAAAATGCGAAAGTAAGAATTTGCCATGAACCATTTATTTGTTTTCAAGAGCGGAAAAAAGAGTCGCTTGCGTGTTGTTTCACTCAACAGCCTGTTTACTGAGATATTCTTAGACCTGTAATTTACTTAGATGGATTTAAAGCAGCGCAGAAGCCCGCTAACACCCCCTACTGGGGAAGGTGTTTAATAGATATACAAGTAAAAAAATTTATCAAGAAAAAAGTCGTTCATAAAAAGAAGTCAGAATGCACACAGGTGTTTGGGAAATTTACTGACAACAACATTTCTTACAGTCTTAAAGGTAGATTCACATTTTTTCAAGTCTAAATCAGTTGAATAGAGTCATTTAATGTACTTTGAATAACTTTTTTCCCTTACTAAATAATTAAGAAAAATAAATGTCTCGATGCACACTAAGTTACCCAGTTATGGAAACAAAAACTTTTTGAATTAGAAAAAAATGTGGGGCATAATCTCTTTGGTTTTCTTTGGTTTGAGAGTCACGTGATGGTCTAAATACCCATACTGCAAACTAATTTTTAACTAGATTATAAGAGATAGTGTACTTGTAATATAATTGCCTCTGTTTTACAACCAAACTGATTAATGCAGTTCTGTCTTCATAATCAATGGCCTTTTTAAAAATGGAACTGATTTTAATTATTGCCAAACTACAAGATGCAAGATGGTGCTAACAGAGCAAAAGGAAACTAAAGAAATACGTTTCGTCAGATTATCAACTGAGGGTGAAAATTCTTTGAAGAAAAATGTATGTAATTTACATGATTCATCACTCTGCTTTTTTTGAGTCATTTTCCCCATAAATAGGCTTATAGTTCACCACATATTTTGGCTCGAAGAATAAACTGTGTTTTACAGTTCATCTCTGCAGCCTCTTTAACCATAAATGATCATTTCATGATTTAAAATTCTTTTATATTGCTGGTATCAAGACCAGTTCTGGGCTTCTTAACCTCAGACAAGCATCAAATGACAAGTCCTCTACAGTATCAGTTTCTTCACATGTTCCAGTTCTTTTTCTAGACCTCCATAAAACATTCCAGTGAAATCAGCCTTGGTTGTGGGCTTTTATATTTCCATCTAGAAATTAAACTGTAATGTGTCATTTACATGCTTACTATCTTGCATTTAACAGAGATATCATGTGGCAATGTTGGTGAGCTAACCAATGGAGAGTTCCAGTATGAAGGGAATTCATACACCGGGGAGAAGGTTTATGCTGTGTGCAATGAGGGGTAAGTTTTACTTCGAAGAACTCCTAAAACATCAGAATAAGACTTTTAAGTGGTGTTTGACTGCATCTCTTATCTACAGATACACTCTGAAAGGGCTGAACTACATGATATGCAAAAGGTCTGGATGGGCTGGTGAAGTCCCATCATGTGAAGGTACAG